CTGCCCACCACGTGGCTGTTGGGCCATTAAAGAAGAAGAATTTTAAATTCTTTTATAAAGAATACAATTTATGCTTTATCAGATACATTTGCTGTGTTAGCTATATTTAACAGTTTCAGTTACAGTTTCCTATGAAGATCATTGTGCAATCGATTTTTAGTATTTAAGCAATATTGATTTTCATTAAAATGAATTTAAAAGGAGAGTAAAAAAGAAGGTTAAATAGATTTTTTTTACTTGAATACATTTTGCGCTTTTCTCATTTTTATGCAATATGTAATATATTGTTGGACAGCATTTACGCAAAGCAATGATAAGAACTTCCTCAATTTTTGCTCAAACCCCTAACTATCTTTCCCTCCCCTTACCCGGATGGCATTAATGGAGGGACGCGTATGCTATTAAGAGACTTTGGAAACATTTCTAAGTACTCTTTTAAGTCCAACTACTGGCCACTCGGACATCGGGGCATTTCGCATTTTCCACCTTGTTAGTGATGTCCGGCAGTCTGAGCTCTGGGACCTATCAAGCTCTTGAGGTCACCTGCCGGCTATTAAGGAGTACTCAGGTTACCCGGACAAACACGAACCTTTTTAACTCTTTTATTTTGTTTGTTTGCCCATAATTACCTGACGGCTATGGTGTGGAAGCCCACCAGGGATTCGAGCTCATTAAGCAAAAGCAGTGAGTTCGAACAGAGTAGTTTCAGGAAATTAGAGTAGAAGATATTAGTCGCTTCAAACGAATGGATTTACCGGTCATTAGGTTGTTTTCGAAAGAGCCTCGTGTGCTACATAATAGCGTTTTTATACTGGAGATTTCCAAACAGGCAATGAAGTCAGTTACTTGAACCCATTTAGATGTAAATTAGTTTTTTTTTGTGTCCAAATATCTTCGAAAAGAGATACCTTTTTTTGCATAATTTATCCGTAATGCTATCATTATCTCGTTAAATATCATTTTTCCAAATTTTGTATTTTATATTCTCTTTTTATGAATTTAATTGCATAGTTTCAAGTATCGTATCTTGAATCGTAAATATTTTAAATATTAAATATTATCGTAAATATATTATATTTTTAGACCAATGGATTATTATGGTTCTTAAAATAGAAAGTTCAGAAAATAAAGATCTAGGTTTTTTTTTATGATTTTGAATAGTATTATATGCTCTATCTTATTCTGCTCGAAGCCCCATATGTTTTGTACCTTACTATATATCAAACGGGTGTTACCACCATAATATATTTATACTTTCTCACTAGATCTGTAAATTAATAAACAACCTCATAAAATATAGCGATTCATTTTCATCAAAGAATCTGATGAAGCAGAAATGAAACATTGGTGATTATCTGCTTGTGATAGACAAACTACTGAGTAGACTACTCATGATATACACTCATGTCCATAAATTAAGGATAATTCAGAATCGCACAGAAATTGAACTCTAAAATAAAAATTTCACCTGTAGAATTATCACACACATCTTGAAGAAGAATATGCAAATTACAGGAAACCACCAGATGGCGCGGATAGCACGTCACAATGACGAGAGTGTAAGAGAGGGGTATATAAGGAATGGTGGCAAAGAAGTAAAATTGTTCACAAGCACTTTAAAAGCCTTTCAGTGCAATAACCGCATAGTTATGGCACAAAGGAAGCATTTGGAGGATTTTTTACGTGGTAGAATTATCGGACGACTGAATGTGGACGTACCCAGCTGGAAGTATCCGAGAACTTGAATCGCCCAGAGTGTCATCTCCAGGCTTTGGCAACGATTCCAAGATGATGGTAATGTGAGTAGATGTTACAACACAGGTCGCCCCCGACTTACAACGCCGAATGAGGAGCGGTATTTAGCAGTTAGTGCCATAAGTAACAGACGGAGCACAGCATCAGACCTGTCTCGCCAGCTCTCTTCAACTACCGGTACGACAGTTTCAAGTCAGACCATATACAGACGCTTAGGGCACATTTGTGCTGAATGCTCGTAGGCCTGTCAGATGTGTTCCACTTACCGCAACTCACTGTCGCCTGTTATTAACCTGGAGCAGAGAGCATGCATGGTGGACACCGCAACAGTGGTCTGGTGTGATGTTTTCCGACGAGTCCAGGTTTAGTTTGCAGTCTGATTCTCGCCGGACTTTCAGATGGAGAGCGCCAGGTACCCATTACCACCAAGAAAACACCATTGAACGACACCGTTATGGTGGTCCAGGATGGCTCGTTTGGGGAGGAATTATTCTTGGTTCCAGAACTGACCTGCATGTCTAGAGTGTAACAACAGGCCACATCTATCGGGATGTCATTCTGGAAACACATGTACGTTTGTTTCGTGGCGCCATGGGTGCTGAATTTCTGTTTATGGAAGACAACACCCGTCCTCACCGTGCAAGCATTGTAGACGAATGCCTTCAATTGGAGGATATCACCCGTATGGATTGACCAGCATACTCACCGGACTTGAATCCAATAGAGCATGTGTGGGATATGCTTGGCCGACGAATTACAGCCCGTCAACCCCCTCCCACCTGTCAACCGGAACTTCGGAGGGCATTGCTTGATGAGTGGTGTAATAATCCCCAAGATCAGATTGATAATTTGATACTCAGCATGCCTAGGCGTTGTAAGGCCTGTATTGCATCGTCCGGGAGACATACTCCATATTAACCATCATACTAACCATGTTATACTGTTTTTTGTAAATAGGTTCTTTTTTTAAATTTGCTCTAGGGAGTAAAAATCGCAATTTTTATTAATTATGTCAAACATAAAGCATCTTTTTGCTCTTTACCTTTTGTTTAATAAATAGACTTACAAATAAATCAAATTTGTTTTACTTCTGCCTCTTTCTTTGCCTGAACTTCATTATCCTTAATTTATGGACATGAGTGTATATTAGATGTATGTACAATACAATAAATAAATATAAATATACAATAGGATATAAAATACAATATAAAATAGTTGGATGGAATACACAATATAAAATAGTTGGATGGAATACACAATATATAATAGTTGGATGGAATACACAATATATAATAATAGTTGGATGGAATATACAATATATAATAGTTGGATGGAATACACAATATATATTAGTTTGATGGAATATACAATATATAATAGTTGGATGAAATACACAATGGATAATAGATGGATGGAATACACAATATATAATAGTTGGATGGAATACACAATATATAATAGTTGGATGGAATATACAATATATAATAGTTGGATGGAATACACAATGGATAATAGTTGAATGGAATACACAATATATAATAGTTGGATGGAATATACAATATATATTAGTTTGATGGAATATACAATATATAATATTTGGATGGAATATACAATATATATTAATTTGATGGAATATACAATATCTAATAGTTGGATGGAATATACAATATATATTAGTTTGATGGAATATACAATATATAATAGTTGGATGGAATACATAATGGATAATAGATGGATGGAATACACAATATATAATAGTTGGATGGAATATACAATATATAATAGTTGGATGGAATATACAATATATAATAGTTGGATGGAATATACAATGTATATTAGTTTGATGGAATATACAATATATAATAGTTGCATGGAATATACAATATATATTAGTTTGATGGAATATACAATATATAATAGTTGGATGGAATACACAATGGATAATAGTTGGAGGGAATACACAATATATAATTGTTGGATGGAATACACAATATATAATAGTTGGATGAAATACACAATATATAATAGTTGGATGGAATATACAATATATAATAGTTGTATGGAATACACAATATATAATAATTGGATGGAATACACAATATATATTAGTTTGATGGAATATACAATATATAATAGTTGGATGGAATACACAATGGAAAATAGGTGGATGGAATACACAATATATAATAGTTGTATGGAATACACAATATATAATAGTTGGATGGAATACACAATATATAATAGTTGGATGGAATACACAATATATAATAGTTGGATGGAATACACAATATATATTAGTTGGATGGAATACACAATATATATTAGTTTGATGGAATAAAGAATATATAATTGTTGGATGAAATACACAATGGATAATAGTTGGAGGGAATACACAATACATAATAGTTGGATGGAATACACAATATATAATAGTTGGATGGAATACACAATATATAATAGTTGAATGTAATATACAATATATAATAGTTGGATGGAATACACAATATATAATAGTTGGATGGAATACACAATATATATTAGTTTGATGGAATATACAATATATAATAGTTGGATGGAATACACAATATATAATAGTTGGATGGAATACACAATATATAATAGTTGGATGGAATACACAATATATAATAGTTGGATGGAATAAACAATATATAATAGTTGGATGGAATACACAATATATAATAGTTGGATGGAATACACAAAATATAATAGCTGGATGGAATACACAATATATAACAGTTGGATGGAACACACAATATATAACAGTTGGATAGAATACACAATATATAATAGTTGGATGGAATGTACAATATATAATATTTGCATGGAATACACAATATATAATAGTTGGATGGAATACACAATATATAATAGTTGGATGGAATACACAATATATAATGGTTGGATGGAATATACAATATATAACCGAACAATATATGTTGTTTTTTGTTGTTTATTATCCCACTTGGCTGGCCAAGCCCACAAGCCCATATGGACTCATGATTGAAGGGGAAGGAAGCAGTTTCTGTTGTGATGGAGCACCCGTAGGTAGAAGCCTGACTTTTGCTCCGTGACGCTCTTACAGTCAAAGGAGACCGGGACCTACGGCTTAAAGTGGATTCCGAACCACTACAAACATCCATGGCCCCGCCGGGATTCGAACCAGCAACCTGTGGCACCGAGCGCCAGAGCGCTAGACACTCGGCCATTCAGGTCCCAAATTTGCCAACGGCACGCAGTGTTCCCAGGTTTTCACCCACATAAGTACTGACCGCGCCCAATGATGCTTAACTTCGGTGATCTAACGAGAACCGACCGAACAATATATAACAATATATAACTGCACAGCCGAACCTGAGGATTAGTCATAACAACAACTTATTCTTCTCAGAACTAATAATAATACAATAAATTATAATATTACAATAATCTCATAAATAATCACATCATATAGATAATTGCGTAAAAATTTATATATGCTGAAAGTTTTTTATATAAAATTTCAAAATGTTTTTAATAGATAAACCAGAACAAGCATAAGATTGATAAAATAATTAAGTTTTTATAAACATTTATAATAAAACGTCAATGGTTTGGTTTGATTTGGTTTTTCGCTCTGAGGTCATTTTTCGCACACTTTAGGCTAATTAGACCGGAACCTACAGTTTAACGTGGATTCCGAATCACTAACAAACATCGATGTTACGCCAGGATTCGAACCTGAAGCCTGTGGCCCCATTGGCCATTAAGCCGTAAAACGTCAATTTCACATATATAATAATACTATTTTTCTGATAACATCAGCCTTTTTAATTTGGCTATAGTTTTGAAAATTAAAGGACTATGGAATAATATAAATAGAAACAAAATGTAAATCTGAATAAATTACTTAAAAAGAATTATGCACCTTAAGGTAAAACTAAACATTACGAAAAAAAGTGTCGAAAATTAAAACAAAGCTCTTCTACAAAATACGTAAATAATCAAAAACGCTCGTTTTTTTATTTCCTCGGTAGTTCTCTCCGAGTAGCGGACGATTAAGAAGATTAAAGTTTCAACTTGCATTCTGGCAACACTGACATTTAATTTTCTAGCAGTGGAAAGTAAAAAAATAATAAAAATAATAAAACGATGAAAATATTAAAATATGACAAGCACGAATTGTGAAAGAAAAAAAAAATGAGAACAACACGTCCGTCTAAAAGAACAAATTCGAGAAAAATAAATATTTAAATAAAAAAAAAAAGAATAAATAAACAAAAAAAAAAATGAAAAGAAATTCTCGAGAAAAATTTAATCATAAGGATAGAAGAAAAACAATAAAAATGGCGCAAGTTTTCGAATCGCAGTGTAACGACGAATGCATTGAAGATGTGCTGAATGCTACTTTTGCATCAAGGCTGACTGATACAAGTTATTAAAAAATAAAATATACTGCATAAAAATATTAGACCCTTAACAAACAATCTCAGCTAACGGATAAAAACTTATTACTTTCTTAGGACACTGACAAGAGAGAAGCTTTGAAATTTTTATCACAAATTTTTCACCCGTCATCCTAGAAAAGTAATACGACCAGATTTGAAATTTTTGATATTGTCGTCATTTTCACGAATTTCTTTCATAATTTCGTCACCTTTAGATTCAACGCTGTCTTTATTTTTTTGTTCGTTTTTTTAAGAGTTCTTTTCTTGTTTCAAATGTGCTGGCGTTTTCTGACTTTTGGATTTTAATGAAAATTCTCGAATGGCATGTTTATCCAGAGTTATTAGTAGCATTCAATCAGTTTTCTTCAATATTTTATTGCATTTTTTTATAACTTCAAAACAGTAGATAAAGAAACATCCTTTTAATTTAAGAGAGCTTCACATAAAACATTGTTTAGAAAAGTGAATGTATTTGCTTATATATTTTTAAGGAAACTTGGATTGCTATTCTGCCAAAGGAACACGAAGAAATATGCTCACATAATAATAATTAATTCAACATTTCATTATTTGAGAAAATTGAAAGAATATTGAATCCTTTAAAATATCACATATGTTTTTGGAGACATTTTAAGGACATCGTTAAATGTAGGCAGGGCTAATCAACATGATGCAACTAGATAGCACTAAGCGTATTAAGCGCACTAAGTATTAATTACTCGTATACTGCAAAAATGCAAAAAGAAATATGCTCACATAATAATAGTAAACTCAACATTTCACTATTCCAGAAAATAGAAAGCCTATTGAATCTTATATAAATCACATTTGAGTTTGGTGACATTTTAATATCATTGGTGATCAGGGGTAAGTAAAATGAGACCACCAAATGACACCAAATGGAGGTGAAAAGTATCCAACAATAAAGAACCTAAATATTTAATTTAAAATTTAACGAATAAAAATAATAAAACTTCTCACGATATTCTTGGTGCATATTAGATAAAAATAATAAGTATAACAGAAAAATTAACTTCTAAATGTTACTATTTTTAAGTTTTGCTGGAGTATATAAAAATAAACATTTCACTTTTTGAGAAAATAGAAGGCCCACTGAATTCTATAAAAATCACATATGGGTTTGATGACATTTTAATACCAGTGCTAAGCATCATGAGGCCAACAGATGGCAGCAGGCGAAGAGTATTCAACAATAAAGAAAAAATTTTTTAATTTAATATTTAATTAAAAATAATAAATTTTTTCGCTTGCTGCAAACCGTATAAACATAATAATAAATATACAGAAAAAAAATGAACCTCTAAATGTTACAGTTTTTAAGTAACCCTGGGGTTTAAACTCAACATTTCACTATTAGAGAAATTAAAAAGTCAACTGAATCCTATAAAAATCACATATGAGTTAGGTGATATATTAATACTAATGATTAGTGCTAAGGATCATGAGGCCATCAGATGGTACCAGATGAAATGTATCCAACAATACAAGGCATAAATATTTAATTAATATTTAATGAATAAAAATAATGAAGTTTTTCACGAATATCTTTTACTTTTTACTAATAATTGTTTTCCGCAAATCTTAGTATTTTTAATAAATCTAATATAATTTAATTATTTTATATTTCATCTTTTCAATTCAGAATAATTGAAGACAATACTGGTTAAAGCAAATTTTAAAAAAAGCTTCAACGTTTTTATATGGCAGAAAATTAAATATAGTTATTTAACTAAATTTCCTCTCGGTTATGTGTTTTCAATAAATGATCATTCTATAAAATCCATTTAATATTCAAATAAGCTGAAAAAGTATTTAATGATAACATATTTCGCATAGATGCGAAAAACCCTTCTTTTATAAGAACTATCGACTGTCGATTTTTTTTATGTTGCATTACAGTTCCAATGACAAATCAATGATGCACAAACTAGCGAAGTACACATGCATCACAAAAAATATTCCTATATTTAATTCATTTATATATAAGCAACGTAATGAAAAATAAATGATGTAATATAATAAGTATATAAAGATTAAACGCATGGATTCAATACGTTGGTTGGATATTTATAGCATCCAAGCGAAAAAGTATTGGTTTATACTTATCGACTTTTTGATATTCATGTCTAAAATTGCTTGTTAACAATATTGATCCAAATGGGATTGAACTTTCTAGAAACCACAATTTCTTCTACAAGTGCAATTCTAAATTTATAATGTTATTTTGGCAATACCACAAAATACATAATCAGCTTTTGAAACCGATGCCTAACTAATAATGGATGGCCAACAAAATTGATTCTGGATTTGTAACATTGAGATTTATGCTCGGTAATGATGCTTTATCTCAATTTATCTAAATTTTGATTTTGGTTGTTAGGGTAATAAATAAATAAGAACATACATCGATCATTTGAATCTACACTAATGAGTTATTGACAAAAGTTCCTATCTTATTTTTTTGCAATTTATTAGAAAAAAAATTGAATAAAATATTCGTAATATTTAAATGATTAACGTTTTTATTAAATTAGAGCAGCATAATGCTTCATATTTTAATCTTTCATAAAAACCTAGAAATCAATAACTATACATGCTAGTAGAATCCGGCAAATTGTTATACAAAAAAAAATGCAATGTAGAAAATTACATATCGTGAATATAGAAACATACATGGCACCGAACCCGAAACCTGTGCCACCGAGCGTCAGAGCGCTAGCCACTCGACCATCAGGCCCCTGGTCTAATATGATTGTAAAACAGTGGGAGTAGTGCTGATAATGCTACTTCTCAAACATCTCATGTTTCAGAAAAAAAAAAAAACATATCATGGTTTGGAATTTGTCTGCCCACCACGTGGCTGTTGGGCCATTGAAGAAGAAGAATTTTAAATTCTTTTATAAAGAATACAATTTATGCTTTATCAGATACATTTGCTGTGTTAGCTATATTTAACAGTTTCAGTTACAGTTTCCTATGAATATCATTGTGCAATCGATTTTTAGTATTTAAGCAATATTGATTTTCATTAAAATGAATTTAAAAGGAGAGTAAAAAAGAAGGTTAAATAGATTTTTTGTACTTGAATATATTTTGTGCTTTTCTCATTTGTATGCAATGCGTAATATATTGTTGGACAGCATTTACGCAAAGCAATGATAAGAACTTCCACAATTTCTGCTCAAACCCCTAACTACCTTTTCCTCCCCTTACCCTGATGGCATTAATGGAGGGACGCGTATGCTATTAAGAGACTTTGGAAACATTTCTAAATCCTCTTTTAAGTCCAACTACTGGCCACTCGGACATCGGGGCATTTCGCATTTTCCACCTTGTTAGTGATGTCAGGCAGTCTGAGCTCTGGGACCTATCAAGCTCTTGAGGTCACCTGCCGGCTATTAAGGAGTACTCAGGTTACCCGGACAAACACGAACCTTTTTAGCTCTTTTATTTTGTTTGTTTACCCATTATTACCTGAAGGCTATGGTGTGGAAGCCCGCGAGGGATTCGAGCTCATTAAGCAAAAGCAGTGAGTTCGAACAGTGTAGTTTCAGGAAATTAGAGTAGAAGATATTAGTCGCATCAAACGAATGGATTTACCGGTCATTAGGTTGTTTTTGAAAGAGTCTCGTGTGCTACATAATAGCGCTTTTACACTGGAGATTTCCAAATAGGCAATGAAGTCAGTTACTTGAGTCCATATAGATGTAAACTAGTTTTATTTTGTGTCCAAATATCTTCGAAAAGAGATACCTTTTTTTTGCATAATTTATCCGTAATGATATCATTACCTCGTTAAATATCATTTTCCAAATTTTTTATTTTATTTTCTCTTTTTATGAATTTAATTGCATAGTTTCAAGTAT